CCTGAGCCCAAGTCGGATGCTTAACCGGCTGAGCCACCCAGGAGCCCCTCATTCACTCATTTATAATGAAGATCCTAATAGTTCCCATTAGGGCTCTACTGTCATTTAGTTTCCGATTTCTCTGTTGTTGGTCATTTAGGTTATTCCCAAGTTTTTATTATTACAAATAGTACTTCGATTATGGTCTTCATAGATAAATCTTTGGCTATATTTCTTATCATTTCTTCATGACTGTTTTCTTGGATGCTGTCCAAGTAACTTTTTTTTTTCCTGGTCCACGTAACTTCTAAACACAGTTAATACATAAAAACACTTCAAAGAAATCTTAAGCTCTACTGCAGTAGACCTCCCTTCAGGACAGTCTGCTGCAGGAGCAGTTGACTGAAGGTCTCTGGCTGCCTCATCTTCAGATTCACTGTAGCATGAATGCCATGGCCACGGCCATGCTGGCCTGAGCTGCTCTCAGCCAGTGGCCCAGCATGGCAGGAATACTGGGCCATTCCTGGTATACTTTACTTGGAGACGCCTAATCGTCCCAAATGAGACTCTCAGACTGGACCGCAGTCAGAAATTCTGCCTACCTAACCCTCCTTCCTTCCCACTGTTTTTCACAGAATGGCACCACAATCTAAAGGATTTTCCTGCCTTTTCCTGCCCTATTCCCCTTTAGCCATTACAGGCACTTCCCAAATCAATCTCTTGCACATCTTATCCTATGGTGGCATCTGCTTCTTGGAGGAACTGAGCTGACACAGTTAGTAGGTTTTTGTTTGTAATGGTATGAATGTAGTATTCTGAAGCAATTGTGTGTGTATTATAGTATTAACCAAATGAGTAAATATATTGATATAGTTGGGGATCAAGGTTCAAACTGCAGGAAAAGGAAGACAGAAATATGGGGGACACCTGGGTGGCTCAGTCAGTTAAGCATCCGACTTTGGTTCAGGTCATGATCTCACAGTTCATGGGTTTGAGCCCTGAGCTGGGCTCTGTGCTGACAGCCCAGAGCCTGGAGCCTGCTTCAGATTCTGTGTCTCCCTCTCTCTCTACCCCTTCCCTGCTCGTGCTCTCTCTCTCTCAAAAATAAATAAACATTTTTAAAAATTAAAAAAAAAAAAAAGAAATATGGAATGAGGGAAGCAAAGAAGAATGCTGTAGTGTTGAACTGGAATAGAAGGTCAGTATAACCTCATGAATTATACGTGCGTGAATGTGTGTGTGTGCGTGTGTGCGTGCGTGCGTGTGTGTGTGTGTGATATTTATAGGAAATGTAGATAGGAGATAGTTATAAATATATACAGTGTGTGCATGTGTATGTATATGTGTGTGTGATTATTTATACATCTTCTAGTTCTGTCCACTGAGAGAGACAAAGAGCACAGCTGTTGGTTTCTAAATTCTGTTAAAAGGAATCTGGTAAAAACATTTCTACACAGAGAGATGTACATGAATGTTTATAGCTGCATAATTCATAATGGCCAAAAAATCCAAACATACCACCCAAATATCCACCAACTAGTGAATTAATTTTTTTAAATGTGGTGCATCCATACAATAGAATACTATCCAGCAATAAGAAGAAGTAAACTGCTGATACATTCTACAACAAGGAGAACCTCAAAAACATTATGCTGAGTGAAAGAAGCCTGGCATAAAAGCCCATGCACTGTATGATTCCATACATGAGCAGTCCAGAAAGGGCAAATCTAAAGAGACAGAAATCAGTGCTGTCTAGGACTAGAGAAAGGTGTGGGAATTAAGTGAAAATGGACAGGAGGGAAATGTCTAAGTGATGGAAATGTTCTAAAAGTGGATTGTGATGAGGTTGTACAACTCTACAAATCAGGAGAACTGTCCCTGATTACTTTTGCAGCCTCATGTCCCAATGCTTCCCTTCATACGCCCCCAAATTCCACTTGAGGAATTTCAAAGGATCCTCAGTTTCCATCCAGAACAGCATCATTCAGTCTCCACCTGGGACAGCATTATTTATTCTCCATAGCCCAGGACAAATGTCACCTCTGCTGTGATGCCAGAATCAATCCCTTCCTTCCATGCAATCTCATGAAACACTCTTTGCACAACCCTGAGAGCCCTCTTTGCTCTAACTCTTCCAGCTGTGTCTGTGCATGGCTGTCCCCTTACCACTGGACAGTGAGCTCCTCAGATGCAGGGACCGGGTCTTATTCCTCTAGAGAACCTATCAAGGCGTCAGGCACATCATTGGCATTTGGCAAATGGATGAATAAATGAATGAATGAACAAAGCCATGAAGAACAAGTGAGAATGAAGTGAATAGAAAAGGTATGGGCTGTTTTAAGCAACAGATGAACCAGTTGTTAGGAAAGCAATTAAAAAACAACTACAAATCTTGGCCCATAGTACTGGTATGAGATACTCAGCTTGAAGGAGGATTCTGGGAAGATGGTAGAGTAGGAAGCACCAGGAGTCTCTCCCCGCCCCCCTGCCCCAGACAAGTGTACTGGCAGAATCTGTCTGAAGTAACTATTTTGGAACTCTGGAGTCTGTCAAAGAAATGAAAGGCATCCAAGTTGGAAAGGAAGAAGTAAAATTGCTTTCAGATAACATGATCTTATACATAGAAAACCCTATAGATTCCCTGAACTTACTGGAACTAAAAAACGAATTTTTTTTTTAACGTTTATTTATTTTTGAGACAGAGAGAGACAGAGCATGAACGGGGGAGGGTCAGAGAGAGGGAGACAGAGAATCCGAAACAGGCTCCAGGCTCTGAGCTGTCAGCACAGAGCCCGATGCGGGGCTCGAACCCACGGACCGCGAGATCGTGACCTGAGCCGAAGTTGGACGCTTAACCGACCGAGCCACCCAGGCGCCCCTAAAAAACGAATTTAGCAAAGTAGCAGGATACAAAGTCAACACACAAAAATCAGTTGCATTTCTGTACACAATGAACGATCTGAAAAGGAAATCACAGAAACAATTCCATCAAAAAGAATAACATATTTAGGAATTAACTTAACCAAGGAGGTGAGAGATTTGGACAACAAAAACTGTGAAACATTTCTGAAAGAAACTAAAGAAGGTATAAATAAATGGAAACACATCCCACATTCATGGATCAGAAGACTTAATATTGTTAAACTGTAGATACTACCAAAAGCAATCTCCAGATTTAATCCAATACCTGTAAAAATCTTAGTGATGTTTTTTGCAGAAAAACACAACTTAAAATTCACATGAAGTCTCAAGGGACCCCAGAAAGCTAAAACAATCTTGAAAAAGAAGAACAAACCTGGATGATACAGGCTTAGTGATGTCAAAACTTACTACAAAGCTACATTAGTCAAAACAGTCTAGTACTGGCATAAAGACAGACATATGAAACAACAGAATAGAAGAAAGAGCCCAGAAATAAATCTTCACGCGTACGGTCAAATGGCTTTTGCAAGGGTGCCAAGACCATTCAATGAAAAAAAAGATGGTATTTTCAACAAACGGTGCTGGAAAACTGGAAATGCATATGCAAAAGAAATAAGTTGGATTCTTATCTAATACCATATACAAAAATTAATTCAAAATAGACCAAAGATCTAAATGTAACACCCCCCGCCAAAGTAAAAGGCTTAGAGAAAAACAAGACAAAACCACCCTAACTTTGGGTTTGGCTATGATTTCTTGGATATGACATCAAAGGCACAGGTAACAGAAGAAAAAATTGGCATAAAATTTTTTTAATCTTGTATATTAAGAGACACTACCCATGGAGTAAAAAAACAACTCACAGAATAGGAGACAATATTTGCAAATCATTTATATGATAAGGATTCAATATCTAGAATATATAAGTCCTAAAATTCAACAACAATAACAAAAAACAAATGACCCAGTTTAAAACCGGGTGAAGGACTTGAACAGACATTTCTCCACAGAAGATAATGAGTGGCCAATAAACACATGAAAAGATGCGCAACGTCACCAATCATCAGGGAAATTCAAATCGAAACTACGATGAGATATCACCTCACAGGCATTAAGGTGGCTGCTATAAAACATCAGCCACAGAAAACAAATATCGGTGAGGCTGTGGAAAAATTGGAACTGTTGACACCATTGGTGAGAATGTAAAATAGTGTAGCCACTGTGGAAAGCAGTTCATTTAAAATAGAACTACCTCACTTAACAATAGAACTACCATATGGGGCGCCTGGGTAGCTCCATCAGTTAAGCATCCAACTGGGGCTCAGGTCATGATCTCACGGTTCCTGAGGTTGAGCCCCACACCAGGCTGTCTGCTTTCAGCACAGAGCCTAGTTCGGATCCTCTGTCTCCCTCTCTCTCTGCCCCTCCCCTGCTCTCTCACTTTTTCTCTCCCTCATAAGTAAATAAACACTTAAAAATAAATAGAACTACCATATGGTCTAGCAATTCTACTTCTGGTATACACGGACAAGAATTGAAAGCAGGGTCTCAAAGAGACATCTGTGCACCCATGTTCACAATAGCTAAAACTTGGAAGCAACACAAGTAAGTGTTCAACAGCAGACGAATGGATAAGCGAAATGTGACATATACATACAATGGCATATTATTCAGCCTTAAAAAGGAAAGATATTCTGTAATATGCTACAATACGGACAAACTTTGAGGACATTATGCCAGGTGAAATAAGCCAGTTGCCAAAAGACAAATACTGTAAAAGTCCACTTATTAGAGTAGCCAAATTCATAAAGACAGAAATTGTAATGATGATTGCCAGGGGGTGGAGTGGGGAAACAGGGATGGACAGTTATTGTTATTGGGTATAGAGTTTCAGTTTTACAAGATGAAAAGTGTTATGGGGATGGATGGGGGTAATTTCTGTACAACAATGTGAATATATTTAATACCACTGAAGAAGAGTACACTCAAAAATGGTTAAGACAGTAAATTTTATGCATATTTTACTACAATTTTAAAAACGCTACAAAACAATAAGTATGTGTAAAGGACAATGGTGACAAAGGTGACCCATCTCTTACCTTCATCAAGCAGCCAGCAAACACAAGGAAGCCTCTTGAATGCAGATGTTTGGCCAACGAGAACCCAAATCCCGAGTCACAGCCTGTGACCAGGACAGCTTTGCTGCCAACCTGTTTTAGAAGGTCATACCCCACGTTAGGAACCCAAGATCCTATGAGCATAGTGATCAAGCCTCTTCTGGGCAGTAACGATTAGTGCTTCCTGAGTGAGCCAGTCCTGGACCTGCCCACCCGCCTCTAGCTTTCTAGAGAAGCACCATGGTATAGTGGGAAATGCTTGGACTCAGAATCAGACCAGGTTCTAACCTTTCTGGCATCAGTTCCCTAATCTATAATCCCCAACACCACCATCCCCATCATTATGGTATATTGATCATTTCTTACCATATGCAAGGCACTGTGCACGCATTTTTCTTATTTAATCCCCATAGTAACTCCATACTGTATGATTATTATACTACGTCGCAAGTGAGGAAATAGATATTTTCTAAATGCCCAAGGTAGTTAGTTAGTGGTAGAGCTGGAACTGAAACCAGGAATGAGAGATTCCAGAGTCTAAACTCAACCCCTAACTTCATTTGATGGGGGTAAAGGGGGGCAGTTATGACAGTGGAAAGTGGTTCCAGCTGTCTCAGAAGCACTGAGGCCCTGCTCTGAGGGTGGCCCGGGACCGGGGGTCGGAAGGGAAGGGCTCTGACCACCTGGCTGGTTTTCAGCTGGGCTGCCACTCACCGGGTTCACCTCATCAGAGTAAGTGCGCAGGCTGACAGGGACAGGGGAGGCAGAGTAAAGCAGCAGCATGCGTCTGCAAGAGAGAAGGAAACCATGAGTAAAGTCTGTGGTCACACCTGGCCCTGTTCCTGGGTACCAGTGAGCACCCCACTGCTCCCCACCCCAAGCCCCTGAGGACAATCTGCTGGTACTAGTGAGGAAGAGGACCTTTTTCCTCTGGGGTTGCTAGGCTGGGACAAAGTAAGCCAGCAGTTTGCAGCGGCCATTTTTGCCACTGTGTAAGGAATGGAATCGTCCTCCAGTAATGCAGCTTTGTTAACAAAGCCTTTTGCAAATTCAATGTCTTAACCCTTAGGTGTTACGCTGCTTCCTGATAGCTATTTTTCAATTAAACTTTTGTTTTTGAAATAATTGTAGATTCATATACAGTTAAAAAATAACACAGAGACATGTCCTGTAACCCTTTACCCAATTTCCCCCAATGGCAACATTTTGCAAAACTATATAGCACAATATCACAATCAGGATATTGACATACCGTGAAAATACAGAAGATTTCCATCACCACAAGGATCCCTCATGTTACCCTTTTATAGCCACACCCACTTCTCTCCCACCTCATAGCCTCTTTAACCACTAATCTGTTCTCCATTGCTACAATTTTGTCATTTCAAGAATGTTATATAAATGGAGTCACACAGTATATATAACCTTTTAGGATTGCTTTTTTCACTGAACATAATTCTTTGGAGATTCATCCAGATTGTTGCATGTATCAATATTCTTTTTTTATTGCTACATTGTATTTCATGGCATGGGTATACCACAGTTTAACCATTCAACTATTTTTGTTTGTTGTAGGCTCCACATCCAACATGGGGCTGGAAATCACCACCCTGAGATCAAGAGTTGTATGCTCTACTGACTGAACCAGCCAAGTGCCCCTGACCATTCAACTATTAAAGGGCATCCGGAATGTTTCCAATTTGGAGTTATTACAAATAAAGCTGCTATGAACATTCCTGTACAAGTTTTTGTGCAAATCTATTTTTCTCTTGGGTAAATGCCCAGGAGAGCAATTGCTGGGTCATATGGTAGTTGCATGTTTAGTTTTTAAGAAACCTTCAAACTGTTTTGCAAAGTGGCTGAAGCCTTCTGCGTTACAGCAGCAACAGATGAGTGATCCAGTTTCTCCATATCCTCGCCAGCATTTGGTGGTCTCACCACTTTTATTTTAGCCATGCTGATGACTAAAAAAGATAATCTCACTGTTTCTAATTTGCATTTCTCAAATGGCTAATGATGTTGAACATCTTTTCATGTACTTATTTGCCATCTGTATATGTGTTTTGGTAAGATGTCTCTTCATGTCTTTTGTCTATATTCTTTTTTTAAGATTTTATTTTATTTATTTTTTTTATTAAAAATTTTTTAACGTTTATTTTTGAGAGACAGAGAGAGAGTACAAGCTGGGGTTGGGGGAGCAGAGAGAGAGGGAGACACAGAATCTGAAGCACAGACACAGAGCTGTCAGCACAGAGCCCGATGTAGGGCTTGAACTCACCAACCGTGAGATCATGACCTGAGCTGAAGTCAGTGCTTGACTGACTGAGCCACCCAGGCACCCCAAGATTTTATTTTTAAGTTACCTCCACACCCAACATGAGGCTTGAACTCACAACACCGAGATCAAGAATCGCACGCTCCTCTGATTCAGCCAGCCAACTGCCCCTCACTATTGAGTTTTGAGAGTTTGTTACATGTTTTAGATGCTAGTTCTCTGTCACATATATAGTATGCAAATATTTTCTCCTATCCTGGAAGTTGTCTCTTCATCCTCTTCACAGGCTCTTTCGCAGAGGAACGTGTTTCATTTTGATGAGGTCTGACATCAGTTTTTCCTTTTATGGGTAATGCTTTTGGTGTCAAGTTTTGGAACTCTGTCTACCCCAGAACCCAAAGATTTTCTCCTGTTTTTTTTCTAAGAGTGTGATAGTTTTGTGTTTTACATTTTAAGTCCATGATCCATTTTGAGTTAACTTTTGTATACAATGTGAGACTTAGGTCAAAGTGCTTTTTTTTTTTGTTGCCTAAGCATGTCCAATTGCTCCAGAACCATTTTTTGAAAATGTTGTCTTTTCTGCATTGGATTGCTTTTGCACCTTTGTCAAGTATCAGTTTGGCATATTTGGGTGGGTCTATTTCTGGATTCTCTTTTCTGTTTCATTGAGCTATGTGCTCCCATCTTGTTTTTCTTTTTCAAAACTGTTTTTGCTATCCTATTTTCCTTGCCTATTCATACAACTTTTAGAACAATCTTATCCTTATCTACAAAAATCTGGCCAGGATTTTTATACAAATTGTGCTAAGCTTATATATCAATTTGAGGGAAATTGACATTTTTACTTTTTTTGAGTTCTTCGACCCCTGAACATAGTATGGGTTTATTTAGATTGTTGATTTCTTTCATCAGCACTGTATAGTTTCCTGCATACAAATCCTGTACATGGTTACTGTATTTATGCTTCAGTAGCTCATTTTTTTGAGTTTTTAAAATGGTATTGTTTTAAATTTTGATATCCACAGTTCATTGTGGATATAAAAATACACTTTATTTATATTCTTTTATTTTGTGTGCTATCATGATTCCTGAAAGAAACCTATTTTTTCATGGTTCATATTTTTGTGTATTACTGAATTCTATTCGCTAATATTTTAAGAATTTTTGCATCTGTATGCATGAGGGATATTGGTCTGTGGTTCTTTTTTTTTTTTTTTTAATGTTTATTTATTTTGAGAGACACAGGGACGGGGGAGGGGCAGAGAGAGCGGAGAGAGAGAGAATCCCAAGCAGGCTCCACACTGTCAGTGTGGAGCCCGACGCAGGGCTCGATCTCACACACTCTGAGATCATGACCTCGGCCAAAATCGAGAGTCAGATGCTCAACCAACTGAGCCACCCAGGCACCCCCTCTTTTTCTGTACAGTATTTGTCGAGTTTGGAATCAGGGTAATACTACCTTCCTAAAGTGCAAAGTGTTCGCCCTGGGTAGGGATTGAGTTCCGGCTCCCTATGAGGTCTCCACTCATACTCCCTGCCTGGGAGGGGTCGGGATGTCTCACTACTGCTCCCCACATGCACGGGAGTGTGGTCTCACTACTGCTGAGAGGTTGGCAAAGTCCTGACTCTCCCTGACTCCCACCCACACAGGCAGGGTGCCTGATTACTGCTGGGTGAGAACAAAAGTCCTGGCCCCTCGTTGGCTTTCTCGGACACTACCCCTGATGGAGGGAGTGCGGTACCTCACTACAGCCTGGTGAAGGTGGAGGTGCAGGCTCAACGCCTCACCATCGGAGGGGGGGAGGCCACAGCTTTTTTCTGTGGTGGCTGCCTAGAGTGCGGTGATTATTGTCCACAGTTTTCTGTCTTGTTAGGCTGGTCTTTTTGCTAAAGAGAGCAAGCTTTTGCTGGGGTTTTTTGTGCCTAGGCTCACTGGCATTTTTGGGTCACCAGCCTCTTCAGCTCCAAGTGTGGGATAGATGAAGGGGAAAGAAAACCTAGAGAGCTCATCACTGTGTTGTTTCTTAGTCCCCGAGGTCCCTAGCTGATCTGCCTTCTTCTCTCCATCTTCTAGAAACTTGCTACGCTTGCTTTACATAATACCTGGGGGGTTTAGTCGTACCTTTTGGAAGCCAATAGAGAAAAGTACATCTACTCCATCTTTCCAGAAGGAGAAGTGCAGTCAGTTTTTAAACGAATATTAAACCAGAAATGATAAATGGAGGTGGTGGAGGCAAGTGAGCAGCTGGTAACAGGGGAGAGAAGGTAGGAGACAGACTTGTACTGTTTTCTACCATTTGAATTTTGTACTCTGTTAATATATTATCTACTCAAAACAAAGTTTTTTAGATATTCATAAAAATGTGTTATCCAACATTCTTCAAGAACAATGGGTTCACTAGCCAGAAACAAAGGTCCAGTAGAAAATCTGCCAGAGTAAACTCCTGTCCTTTTGAACTGTCATAGAAGAGTCTCTTTGGATTTTAAATCCTAGTACATGTTGGTCTCATGAGCAGAATGGTACAGTTAGAATGCTCAAAGGTAGTTAAATGATGTTATCCAAAGAGAATCACTGTTTTTTCCAAGACCCCAGAGGTTAATCTGCAAAAAAAGAACAAGGTGTCCGTCTGGACCAGATTATATGTGTCCCCCCGCCTGCAAATTCCTTTGTACTACTTGATACTTTGAGAAGTAACAGAAAGGTCACAGCAAGAGAAAGAACTTATTTCCAACGGACTTGCAGCCAGATTTTTTCTCCTCTACTTCCGCATTCTCAAATATATTCGGACCCAGACTTGACTCTCTCTGGGTGTACTGTAGCAGGCTGTACCGCCCAGACCCAGCTGTCAGTGGTGTATTTCTTCCTCTCTACCCAGCACAAGGCTCCATCCCTCCACACTCACCTCCCAAGAGGCACAACCTTGACAAGGTGGGGGAGTGGGGCCAAGATTAGCATGTGGAAGCTCCAGCAACATGAGGGTACCCTCCTGGGGACTTCGTGGCTTCTCAGCCTTTCCCCCTTGGCCATTGCTGGGATCGCCTCGTCTGCTCCCATTCTCTCACTGGGAGGCTCCTGTAGCTGCTGTGGGTCCCTAGCTTGGGGCTACTGCTCAATTTGAGGGTTCTTGGGCCTGGAAAGGCCTTAACACCTCAATTCTCTAACTTTAGTTGACAAGCACCTGGGGAGCTTGTTACAATGCAGACTCCCAGGCCCCTCCCATTGACCTTCTGATTCAGCAGGAAGGGGCGGCAGCAAACTGAGGGTCACCCAAACCCCTTACTCCATCAGCTATGCCAGTCTCACAGGCGGTTCGAGTTCAACTCGGGACAGTCAGTAAACTTTCTGAGGGGTAGAATCCCAAAGAGGTAGCAGCCAGATTCAGAGGAGAAGAGCTGGCTGGCTGCTGTCCTAACCTACCAGTGCCATTAGATGGGGCAGGCACTTCCCCGAGGGCCTGTGGGAGAAGCCCCTGGTCCCCAGAGCACTGTCATCTGGGAACTTGCCAGGCCACATTTGAGATGCCACCCCATGCTGGCCAGGGCATTAATCCTGGCTTCTTTTCCATCTTACCAGTCTGTGTCTCTATCCCTTTTGTTTCTCCATCATGAATCAGCCATAATGACCGGTAACCCAGCTTTCTGCTGAGAGGAGTCATGACTAAGTGATTTGATAGGCTAACAAGATGGAGTCTAGGAGGGACAAATGTCAGGGACACAATGCAGCTTGGGAGAAATATGGCCTCACACAGCAGCATATGTGAAAACATAGTAGTCCGCTCAACCATGAATCACAAGTGATGTGACTGCCAAAAGAATCTAACGTGAGCCAAGGCTGGAAAGGATAAAGAAGCCCTTCTCCACTCTGCCTGGGTCAGGCTATCCTGGAGTATTACACGTCATGCCCAGGCAGGCAGTGCTGAGCACTGGAGTTAAGCCAACCTGTATGTATAACCAGGATCCAGGAGGTGGTGTCCAGGAGGTGGGGAACGCACCAGTAAGTCACCTCTCCTGGGGCAGGGCAGGTCATCAGGTCATTGTCCTTCAAAAGAGCCAGGCCCCATTCTCTCTTCAATGGAATGCTGCCTTTGTGGGAAGGGCCATTTTATACTCCTCCTCCTCCTTCTCCTCCCCCCCCATCCTTCCCCCCTTCCTCCTCCTCCTCCTCCTCCTCCTCCTCGTCCTCCTTCTTTCAGAGACAGCACGTGTGCATGAGCAGGGGAAGGGGCAGAGGGAGCAAGAGAGACTCTTAAGCAGGCTCCACACTCAGCATGAAGTGCAACGTGGGGCTCAATCTTATGACCCTGGGATCATGACCCGGGCCGAAATCAAGAGGCAGATGCTCAGCCAACTGTGCCACCCAGATGCCCCTATACTCTTCTTATATGAGGTCTTCTGCTAGTTGAAGCCCATCTCCAACCAAGCTTCTGTAGCCCAAGGAAATGCCTTTAAGAAAATGGTGCTAAAAGCCTAAATGCATGTTCTTCTAGACAGACATATTAATCAGTATAGAAAATATCCATCAATTTTCTAGCTGCTGAGACTTTGAATTTAACCTGACACCTAATTTCTCTCCTTTCAAATATAAAGGAACAGAACGTATTATTTTTTCCTTGCCTCTGTGCTGCAAAAGACAAAAATTAGGTAACAGAGCACTCTGAACCCCCTTGGAAAAGGCAATTCCAGAAGTTCTCGAAGAAGAGCTGCTTGTTTAATTTGTACTTAATGCTTTCTCTAAATCACACAAACAGTTCAGTGAAGCCTCAGGACATTTTAGTTAACTGGTTCCATGTATAAGATTTAAAAAGAGCAATTATCCAGGAGATTAAAGTATTGGGACACATCAACGTTCTATGTCTCCATAGATATAAAACATTCTATGTTCCAAGAGGGGCATCACCTCACTTAGGTAGGACTCTTCCAGACATACACATCTGAGTGTAAATATGACAAAACATCACACAAACGCAAACTGACAGGCATTCTTCCAAAGTGTCAAGGTCATGAACAACAAAAACTGAGGAACTATCCCCAGTAGGAAGAGACTGAGGAGACATGACAACTAAATGCACTGTGGGACCCTGGTTTGTACCTGGAACCAGGAAATGGTCCGTTTGTAGGCTATTTGGTAAAATTTGAATCAGGTCTCTAGATCAGTCCATCATATCACATCAGTGGTAATTTCCTGGTTTTGCTGATTGCACAATGCAAGGGAAGTTAGGTGAAAGACACAGGAACCCTTTGTACTAATTTTGCAAGCTTTGTATAAGGGTAGTTATTTCAAAATAAAAAAGTTGAAGAGAATAAAGCAGTGTTGAAAGATATTCTTCTGTGCCCTGTGAAAGTCTTTGTCTGTTGCAGGCACCTTTGAGTTTCCTTTGCTGGTAGGCAGCAGGGGCTGGCAGACATCTTTGGGGGTCAGGCCTTAACACCTCCTGCATCATCCGTGTGTGAAGAGCTCTGTTTCGCCTAGAAGGTGTGACCTTCAAGGGCACCTCCATCTTTTAGTTTCTTACCTTGCTCCCTTTTCTCTATCACACAAACTCAGGGTTTTCCCTGGGAGCTGTGACAGGGGTCTGAAGAGGCGGGCAGTCAGCATTATGGCCACAAGAGGTAGAATGGTCAGCCTCCTCCCGGGGGGGTTCTGAAATGCAAAATGTATACTCAGCATTGCCTTGTTGCCTTCCCGTGTTTACCTTTCAGGGGCTTAGACGGGAGTGGCCATTTACACTCCAGGTTGTGAGAGTCCCAACTAGGCCTGTCTGTCTGGCCCAGGTCTGCTCAGGGCACCAGACAGTGTCCTCCTGCACCGCCTACATCAAGCTGCAGCTTCATAGGATAGAAAGAGTCAGGAGGCTGGGTTCTGGTTCTGGTTCTGGCTGTGCCACCAACTCCTTGGGCAATCCTGGGCAAGCCATCACCCATTTGTAACATGAGAAAGATGGACCAGGCCAGTGATCCTAAAACCAAGCTAAGTAGCAACCGCAGGAAGGACCTGGGGACCTACCCCCTTGGGGATTCCAACTCCATGAGTTCCATTCTCCTGTCTGTGTTCCCCACAACCTGCAGATCACCAGTCTGTGGTGACCCAGGACACCAGCCTGCACTCTGTCTGGTCCCGTGCTTCCACAGGCAGCTCTTCCAGCCCATGGCACGTATCACCGGACTCAACTCTCCACCTCTCTCCCCCACCCCACCAAAAACAGGGTCTGGCTCTGAGCCTCAATTCATCAGTAGCTCTCAGCGCATGGAGACTAGAGCTAGAAAATGAGACACACTTCCATCGACCTAAATTAAAACACATACACACCCAGTCTCTCCCACCACCTTCTTCTGAAGTCAAAGCAACCTTATTGCAACAAGCCCATGTACCACGTGGCGTCACCTTAAGACTACTCATCGACAAAACATCATATGCATGTCATGCACATCATGACCAGTTGTGCATTATTAACAGTTGACTGGTGTGTGCATTAGTTGCCCTCCCGTTCTGGCTAACAGTGAGCCCTCCTGGCCCAAAGGAAGGAAGGGAGGCTAGGAGGGAGCTGAGCAAGGCAACGACAGCTGGAGGAGCTGTGGGTCTTTTCCTGGTGAACCTCTCTAGCCCCTCCTTTGCACACCTGCCTGGGGTTAGGCCATTCTTATCAGGAATGAGGTTCTGCCTAGGAGGCAGCTCCTCCCTGCCCTTTTGCTGCCACCCAAACCTAACTGATTACCAGCCACCTGGGTCACTAGGTCTGTAATAAATTCACTACCTGGCCAGCCACTGCGCTGTTCACTGCCGCAGCAGGTAGAGGTATCTAATCTGCTTAACCCTTGAGAATAGAAAACACGTAGGGATCCCTTGGCTTGTGTGATCTTTCCCGGACACTGCAGCAGACTTTTGCTCCCACTCTGGCCCCTGCTCACCGCACTCTATTCTCAGCACTGCAGCCAGAAAGATCTTTATAACACAGTCAAGTTATGTGACTCCTTTGCCTAAAAGCCTCTCCATGCCTGTTGGAGTAGGCCTCTGCCTCCCTTCCCAACCTTATCTGGTACCACCCTCCCCTCTGCTCACTGCTCTGTAGCCACACTGGCCTTCTGAAAGTTTCTCATGTGTGCCAAGCTCCTTCCTGCCTCAGGACCCTAGCCTTTGCTCCTCCCTCACTCTAGATGGCTGAGTCCTTCTGACCCTTGGGACATCAGAGAGGCTGTCTGTGATCCCCTATGCAGTACACAGAGGTTGCTCTCTGTAAGATCACTCTTTAATACGAAATCACCTTGTTTCTTTACTTTATCCTCTTCAGTGGGACCAGGGGCCTTGTCCATTTTGTTCCCCACTGACTCCCTCATGCCTCAAAGAAGCCTGGCACAAAGGAGGCACTCGGTGAGTCTCTGCTGAGTGGGGACGAGCTGTGTGTAGGTCAGCCTGTAGCCCAAACGAAGATTCCATGGCAAGTACTTGGCAGGCAACAGCAAAATGGAGCCCAAACTAGCCCTTCATAGAAGGCACAAGCCCATGTGGCTCATATTCTTTACCTGGGTGCCTCCCTCCCCCACCCAAGTGGCTGAGCTGGCTGAGCACACACATCTCCACCTCTCCCGTCAGGACTAGAGTCTGAGGTCACCACCACTGGGTGACTCCAAATCCAGTTGTCTATAATTAAAACACTTCCATGCCTTCTGCTCAGTGCCTGTGGTAGAGACTACTTCAATATTATCTCCAAACAGAGGGCTGCTTTCAATTTTATTTTCCCTCGAGTCAGCAACATGGAAAAGGATTGGAGTCAAAAATAGCTTAAAGAACATGAAAACTCAGCCCCTTGAATAAGGCACTAGTCACAATGTAGTCTCTTACACACAGAATGGTAGAATTTTAGATCTCTTCTTTTTTAAGTTTTTTTTTT